GCTGCAAATGCAGCCCCAGGCCCTGTGTGGGAATCCAGGACATCCCTCTGGCTGCCCTGGGACCCTGGCAGGGGTCAGGAACCCCCCTGGACAGAGCCCCCAGAGACACTGTCTGTGATCTCTGTCCATGGAAAAGAGTTTTCAATCTTACAGGATCAATTACCAGCTCTGAGTGTTTGATATCAGTAATAATTAAGTGTGGCACGGGTGCAAAAGTAAAATTTTAGGATTCTAGATGAGGGGCCCAAAGGGGACAAGATGGAGGAAATTGGGTGTGCCTTGTCCTTTTTCTCCTTCTTCATGCCCTCCATGTTTCACTGTGGTGTTGGCATTTTTCTGTTGGTTCAGGCTGGGGACACACTGTCCAACGTAGGTGACAGATATTGGCACGTTATTGTAAATCCAGCACAGGTAGTTTGTGGTATTTAATGTTTGTACCATCCCACTGAGGGCAGAGCCCCACACGCTGCCCTGCAGGACAGAGCTGCGGCAGGGCAGCAGAACATGTTAGAGATAAACAGAATAAACAACCTTGAAACAGCACAGACCAATTATGGCTTCTGCTTTGGCAGCGGGGCTGACAGACAGAGACTTTCTACAATCTGGGAATCATCAATAGCTCAGATTCTGACAGCCCTGCAGCCCCTGCAGCCGTGCCCAGGCCCTGCCCCGTGCCCCAGGGCTGTCACCTCGGTGTTGGTGTAGTAGGTGTTCCAGGAGGAGCGCAGGGACTCCTGGCCCCCGATGTCCCACATCAGGAAGCGCGTGTTGTTCACCACGATCTCCTCCACGTTGCTGCCGATGGTGGGAGAGGTGTGAACCACCTCGTTCATGGAGCTGCACGGGGAGCAGGGAACAGGGACAGTCAGACAAAGTCACCCCAGGAGACAACCTCAGCAAACATCCCTGGGCAGGCAAGGTTTGATGGTGGAAGGTGCAGAAATGCAAATAAAAACAGCAATAAAAAGGACTCGGTGAACTATGTAATAATCAAATTATAGAGCTGAGAGAACACTTGTGAACAAAATGTGTTATAATTAATTAAACCACGGAGCTGAGAGCATTTTTGCTTCAGAAGCTTTTGGGAGCACTCAGCTCTCCTTTCTCCAGGCCCATTTTGGCTCACATGGGACAGAGCAGTTGTTTTGCTTCAAGAATGTGGTTAAGCCACAAGATTTCCAAGTTTCAGCAAAACAACAACTCATCCTCCAGCTCCACCAGGAACACTTCACCCACTCCATCCCGCTCTCCTTCCAGGGCAGGCCACTAAAACCAGGCTTTCTTCACAATGCTTCATGTCCTAACTTCCTCCTCTTCTCCCCTCAGCACAGCTCAGTACACAACTTTTTGAGACAAACACAGCCACTAAATATTTCAAATGTATTGTTTAGAGATACTGAGTGTGACTTTGTCACCAAATGTTTGATGTTTCACATCAAACAACCAAATGTGTGCTCTGGATTCTCCAAAAGTTCAGACTATTTAAACTCTACTGTAACAGACAAAAAAATTAACAGTAGCTCCAAGGCAAACCATCTGTGTTCAAAAGAACTTAAATTATTTTTTCTTCTGATCATCTTGATACAGCTTTTCATTTTGTATGAACCTTTTTGAAGTTCCAGCAGAGCTTTTAGTTACAGTGACAGCAATTTGAGACTGGTAATGGTGCTGGGCTATTTCCTGAAGAGGATACAGAGAGCCAGGGAATTAAGGGATGGTGCAGTGTTCTGAAAAGCAATCCCAGCTACCCTGGGCCAGTGCAAGGAGAGCTGAGCATGAGAATGGCAGAAAAAGAAGTGTCTGCAAGAGGAAAAACGGGATCTGCAAAGTTGGGTAGGGTCAAGGAGGAGTAAGTCAGGAGAATAAAGGAGCTGGGAAAGTCCTCCGGTGTCAAAGTGGGTACAAAGAAGAAGGAGACAGACAGAGATCCGTATGAGAGGGAAAACGCTGAAACTGCAGAAATGAGGGGAAGAACTGTGAGACATTTGTGAAGGAAGTGGATTAAAAACCACCAAGGACGGCCCTCGGCTGCAGGAGTTCCCAGGCTTAAGAAATACCCTTCATTCTGTTTGTGCTTTTTAACACCTCTGACTTCCTCCATAAATCACCATCACCTTCCCTCTCCCTGCAGCCAGAAATGTTTTGGGAAAGGAAAAGCAGGCTGGAATGTGACAAACCCCAAGCACTTCCAGAAAGCCAATTTTAAATGTGGGCTTGGAGCAGCATGGCCACACGGTTTAACAGGAATTATTTCTGACTGGGGAACACTCCTCAGTGCCACACACTGCACGTGGGAAAGGGCCAACCTGTCCCCAGCACAAACAGACCTTGAGCTGCTTGTGTCACCCAGCAGTTTCTGAGCCTGTGGAGAGACTGGTGTCCTCTATCAACCTGCAGCTGGGGAACTGAGATATGGAGCTCATTCCAGCTCCGTGTAAACTAGGAGCAAGGTTAATGCAAGGCAAACACAAACCAGTGCTGCTGTTGAAGGCAGAAGTGCAGGACAGCACGGAGGTGTTGTCCTGGCTTTGTGCTGTACCAGCCTTCCTCCTTCATCCCATCCCAAACACCAAAGTGATCTCAGCACTGGGGACACAAGTCAGGGCAGGCAGAGGTGCTTTGCCACTCACAGAGTGATCTGCCTGCTGTTTAATCTGTGGCGTGGATCAGTTTTGCAACAGTGTCCCGTGGCCAGCACTCACTACAATCATATTTTATGGGGCTGGCAGAGAGCCGAGGCCGTGACACCGAGGGCGGCTGGGAGTGCGTGCTCAGAGCAGGTGATGTGATCCCAACCCCTCTGAACAAAACCTCATTCATCCAGCAGAGCCCTTCCCAAACTCCAGCCACCCTCTGCCACCCGGAAAGCTCCGAGTAGAAGCACCCAGGGCCAGGCAGCACACCTGGAAATGCCCCCAGCGTCCCCACAGGTCCTACTTACAATTGGTACAGAATGGTCGTTTTCCCTGCATTGTCCAGGCCCACAATGATCACTTTGTGCTCTGCAAGGGAAACAGCAGGGGTAAATCACAGCTGCTGGGTCTGCAGCAAGGTTAGTGCCACGTTTGCCACCGGTTTCCTGAGCCAACAGTGCCCAGCTCCAGGTGCCGTGGCCAGGTGTGTTCGTGGGCCAGGGGAGGGACTGGCACCTTCTCACCCTCCACAAAACCATTCCTGAGAGATCTCAGAAGCATGTTTCCCTTCTCTGGCTGCCAGTGTCACGCTGGGATCCTCTCCCAATCTCCTGAAAGTTTTTGCAGCCTGTATCAAACTTCATCCCCTCCAGCTCTCAACTCCACTTTCAACTTTTCAGCTCCCAACTCCACTTTCCCTTCACCCAGGCAATCTCTTGATGTTTTTGCAAACAACAGGTAAAACCCAATCAGGCTGGTGAGATCCCTGTGCCTGTGTTTCCTCCTGGGGAACAGATGTGCCCTCCAACATTCCACAGCACACATTCACCCCCTTTGCCCTTGGACAAGTCACCAGGTGCTCCACAACCCACCTCTGACACTTTGGAGCCCAACGCCCCCATCAATTCTTGCTTCCCTTCAGCACCTCCTCTCCTGTGCATCACAAAAGTGGCTGGGAACTCTACAACTGGTGGTGTCAAGCACATCCAAAGTGATGATTTCCAGTTTGGGAGAGCACAGCCAGCTCTCAGCTCTGTTACGCAACTTTCACTTGCACAACCAAGCAGACCAGTCAAGTAAAAGCTTGGTGAGAAGGGGGTTTTTCCCCTCCTTCCCCGTGTCCCTCAAGGGCGACAAAAAACATTAAAAACACGCCCAAACCTCAGACTCTCAATCTCTGCCAGCCAACAACACTCACATTGGTTTATCCCTTAGGAGATGGAGGGGACAGGGGTCAGGTAAGTGGGGGTTTCTCGAGTTTGATTTTACCAATATTGTGTGGTTTTGCAGAGTTGTCTTTTATGCCCTCCAATACAAATTCCAGCTTTAATTACTTTGCATAACAGCACAATATTGTAAAAGTGTCTGCTTACCTGACCCCACATAACTAGGAACTTTTGTTTCAGGTGGGATGCTGCCAGCATAGTGGATGTTAGGAAATCAGTTGGAACAGAAGGTCTGAGGTGGGGCTGGATGCTACAAGACAAAAATATTTTGCTGTATTCGCACTACATGTTAAGGGGACAGAACTGGGACGTTCAACGAGCAGGTGTGAGAGTACTGAGCCTCACTCAAAATCAAACTCCAAGGACTTCAGAAACACGGAAAGGGCACGAGGAGGTGTTTTGTAGTTAAAGTTACAACTCTCACCAACACCTTGCTGTAAGGAGACAGGTGTGAAAAATCCCGGAATGGTTTGGGTTGGAAGAGAAATCAAAGATCACCAAGTGCCATGGGCAGGGACACCTTCCCCTGTCCCAGGCTGGCCTGGGACACCTCCAGGGATCCAGGGGCAGCCACAACTGAAGCTATAAATAACATTTACTCCGTGAACGAGCCACTTATCGAGGATTGCCACTTAAACCCACACTCTGCCGGCAGCAAGAGGAGCCCACCCGCCACGCCGCGCTCCTCTGGCACACATCAATAATTAAACAGGCGGCTGTCAGGAAATGAGCACTCCAGCGATTGGGAAAAAAAAAAATTAAAAAAAGGTTAAAGGCGCGACTTGCAGGAGCCCCGGAGCGGGTGTGGGTCCCTCCCGGCTGTCCCCGGTGCCCGCGGGCCTCACCCTGGTGGTTGAAGAGCCTCCATATCCTGGTGAAGAGGATCCCCATCCTCGGCCGGGCGCTGCGGGCCTCGCCGGCCGCGGCTCTGCGGGGCCGCGGGCGCTCAGGGCCCGGCGCAGCGCCCCGAGTGCCGGCTGGGGCCGCGCCGGGGCCGCTGCCGCTCGGACATCGCCGCGGGGTCGGGACGGGGCTCGGCTCGGCTCGGCTCGGCACCGGGAGCGGAGCAGCGCCCGCGGCCGCCTCACGGACGGGCCGGGCCGGGCCGGGCCGGGCGCGCTGCGCTGACGCGCGGGGGCGGCACCGCGGCCGCCATTACACGGCACCGCCTCAGCGCGCCCGGCGGAGCGGGCAGGGCGCGGGGACACGGGGCTGAGGGAGCCCGGAGACCGGCCTGGCTCCCTGTACACCAGCGGGGGCTGCGGCGTGAGGGAGCTGAGGGAGCCCGGAGCCCGGCCTGGTTCTCTGTACACCAGCGAGGGCTGCGGTCTGAGGGAGCCCGGAGCCCGGCCTGGTTCTCTGTACACCAGCGGGGGCTGCGGTGTGAGGGAGCCCGGAGATCATCCCGGCTCCCTGTACACCAGCGAGGGGCGGTGTGAGAAAATCTGGAGCCCATCCCGCTCCCCCGTACACCAGTGAGGGCTGCGACATGAGGGAGCTGAAGGAGCCCAGAGCTCATCCCGGTTCTCCTCCCTGCCACGGGCACCTCCCGCTTCACAGCCGATCCGGCAGCCGCGGCCTCGCCGCCCTCACAGCCAGGGATTTCTCCCCGGTGCCGCGTCGGAATAATCGCCTCCCTTCAGGTTTAAACCGTTCCTCGGTGTCCTGTCCCTCCATCCCTTGTCCCCGGTCCCTCTCCAGCTCTCCTGGAGCCCCCTCAGGCGCTGGGAGAGGCTCTGAGCTCTGCCTGGAGCTTCTCCTCTCCAGGGGAACATTCCCGGGGCTCTGAGCTCTGCCTGGATCCTTCCCTTCTCCAGGGGAACATTCCCGGGGCTCTGAGCTCTGCCTGGACCCTTCCCTTCTCCAGGGGAACATTTCCAGCTCTCCCAGGCTGGCTGCAGTTTGTGAAGAAAGCACGTTCACTTAACCCTGTAAAACTTGGTGCTCTGAGGAAAACTTGGGAATAATGTGGGTGAATTTTGCTCCCCAGTAGCTGGGGAGAGTTTGCATAAGGGCACTGGAATGGGCTCTAAGATCTGCCCAGAGCCTTCTCTTCCCTGAGATAAATTTCTCTGTCCAAACCCTCCACTGGAGGGTTTAAATCCTCAGGGATTTGGAAATCCCAGGGAATAATAAGGTTGTGCACAGCTCTGTTGCTGCCTGAGACAACACATTGGGTATTTGCCCTCTCACTTGTCTTGTCCCTGACTGTAATAATTTGTGGTTTGGTTAATGACTTGAGTAAGACTTACATCTCTTGTGTCTCACCATTCATCAAAACGAATAATAGAATAAACTCTTTTAAAATGCCTCTCGGTTGCCCCATCTCTGTAAAAACTAAGAAAACCAACACCTGACACCTAAATTCCTTCCCCTGCCACTGTGCCAGGGTGCTCCAAGCCCCAACCTGGCCTTGGACACTTCCAGGGATGGGACATGAAATTTCCTTTCTTATTCCAGACGTTTTCCATCTTTCCTTCAAGCAGCTTTTATTCCCACAGCAGCTTCTCACATTTAATTGTCCCTGCTGGTCTGGAACCAAAGCAGCAGGGCCAGAGTAATCTCCAATTTTCTGTGTCCAGATCCTTGTGTGTTTCCTGCTGCTCTGGAGGGGAATTCATGGCCCTGAACAGTTTAAGAAGAGAAATATCCTGAACATTTTAAGAAGAGAAATATCCTGACACTGTTCCAGTCCATCCTGGTGCCACAGCTCTGGGTCCTGGGACCGCAGGTAACCCGCAGGGAAACGCAGCAGCTCCTCGGTGTAAAACATTCCACACGTTCAGCATCCAGCCTGCAATGGCGTTAATTATTCATTAGCTGGCAATTATCCTCCTTTCTGCCGGTCCTCAGCTTGGAATTACAGAAGCACCCGGGGTTCTTCTCTGGTCTCAGCTCTCCTGGGCTCGGGGCAGAATTACCAAAGTTCAATTAAACCTTTTTTTCTGATCATTTAAATAAAAAACTCTGAGGTTTCCCCCTGTGCAATTGTTTGGGTTTTTTCCTGGGGCAGCCTGGTTGAACCTGGATAGTACTGCTGGATTTTATGGACTGAGCTGAGCTTCCCAGCGCTGCTGGAAACTTTCTAGGAAAGCATTCCAGTGGGCAGGGCGGGCACAGCCTCGCAATTCCCTCCTGGAAACCTGGGAGGGTTTCTTCGGGTCGTGGACGTTCTGTTCCAGCTGCAGCACAGACAGGGTCAGGAGTTTGTGCTGGGGAAGTGCTTTGAATGCCGACAGAAGGATTTCACCGAGGAAATGCTTCTGTGCAGGAAAAAACCCAGACACAGGGAATATGGGATGGCTGAGGTTGGAAAAGGCCTCCAGGATTTCTGAGTCCAACCATTCCCAGCACAGCCCCATGTCCCCAAGTGCCACGTCCACTTTGGAATCCCTGCAGGGATGGGGATTCCAGCTGAGCACCTTTTCCAGGAAGGAATTTCCCTAAAATACACCCTGAGCTCCTCTGGGATGATCCCAAATCCTGCCCTGGCTGTCTCCTCCTGGCAGGGAATTCCAGAGAGGGAAAAGATCCCTCGGGATCCTCCTTTGCTCCAGGTTGAGCCCCTTCCCAGCTCCCTCAGCCGCTCCTGGAGCTCCAGCCCCTTCCCCAGGACACAACTTAAGCAGTGTAAAAAATCTGAACCCCAATAATCACACAAAAACACACAAAAGGCTTTTTTTCCCCCCTCATTTATATTTATTTGAAAACCCTTTTGCTTTTCATCAACAGCTTAGATGAAAACTCACGTGTTAAGATCTGATTTTGAACACACAGCCAAGAAAATCCTGTTAAACAGAATTTTGAGAGCTTTAAGATCTGCCTGAGGGGGGTAAATGCACCGTGAAGTTCACCTGGCCAAGGTGCTCCTGTCCCTCCAAGGCAAGGTTTGGGTGCTCACAGCATCTCCAGGAGGTTCCTGTTTCTCCTTTTTGGGAAGAGGAGGCTGGAATTCTCTGCCAGAGGCAGCATCTTCCAGTGCTTTCAGTTTTCCAAGATGCCAAAAATGGCTGGAGGTGGCACTCATGGCTCTGGGCTGGTGACAGGGTGGGGATCACTCACAGTTGGACTCGATGGCCTTGAAGATCTTTTCCACCCATCACCATCCTGTGATAAACTATTAATTATCTTTTAATTATCCAATCCTTAATCCCTCCCATCATTCTGCCCCTTGTTCCTGCCCAGGAACCAATTCTAACCGAGTGGGAGATCCCACCAAGGACCAGCTCCAAAGCCCTGAACATTCCCGAGAATCCTTCAAAGGAGCAGTTGGCTGCCAGTACCTCATTCCCTGCTGGATCAGCAGGAAATTATCTGTATTTTTGTACTTCTGGGTCACAGCTATTTAAGCTTGTTACAAAAATAAGCATAATTTATTTCGCAGAGCAGATGCATCTCCTTCTTCAGAACCTCATTAAATTTTCCCAAAAACACAACACGTGAGGCTGCTGCCAAAAACTATTGGCAAACAACAAAAATGCCACAGGACTCCGGGTTTCTCCTGAGCATTTTCCCAGTCTTAGTGCAGGACACAAAGAGACTGGACAGACTTTTAAACGCTTGGTAGTTTTGTTCATTTATTGTAGAAAAGTTATTGTAATGCAGTTCATCTTTGTACATCTAAATTCCAGAAAACGAATCCATAGAAATGAGGATACTATGGGCATGCAGTCTGCATGATCCTGGTCACAAAAATAACACCACTTTTTTTTTTTCTTTTTTTTTTCTTTTTTTCCAATTTTTGTAGTTTTCTTTGAAAGCCACTAAAAGCAGAGGGAGAGCAGAGCATGCACCACTGTACACATTGCATAGTATATGGTACCCACATGCCTGGTCAGGTGCTACACACACGGGGTCTAGAGGGCAAAACAAAGGGAAAATCAGCAGAAAACACAAATTTGGGGTGGCTCTGTCCCAGTAAAGGCAGTAATGTCTTCACCAGTGTGGCTCTGAGCTGGCTCCCAGTGAGGCAGCGCTGCCAGGCTCTCCCTGGGAACCAGCTTGGCTGAGAAACTGAGATTTTCCAGGATCTGAGAAGCCCAAGGTCTGGAGTGTGCAGCTGGAATGGCAGATCCCAACCTTCTCCCCGCTCTGCTCGCTCACAATCTGCATTTGGCTGGCCTGACCCTCCCTGTCTGCAGGAGGGAATCACTCAGGTGTGTCCCAGTCCTAAACACACCTGGGCCCACACACAGTTCCTTAAAATCCCTTCAGGTTTGCAGGGAATTCTTGGGAATTTTGGGTGCTGTGACTCCTCCCTGCCCCCCTCCAAGTTCTGTATCTCCACAAACATTTCTTGGGGATGTTTCATTCCCGACCTTGGGCTGCTGCTGGATTCGTCAGTCACATCCCAGATCTACACATTGGCCAAAATTAAAGTTATTCATGTGATTTCAGATTCCAGGAGGAAATCAGCAGAAATGCAGTGGGCTTTGTGATTTGAAAAGGTTTTTTGTTGTCATTAAGTAATTAATATGGAAGGGATACAAGTTATTGAAAAATCAATCCCATGTGCAAAATGCCAAAATCAACTGCTGAAGTATCAGGCAGCGAGTAAACAGATCAAAAATGCAATAAATCCACTGCTGCTGGATCCAAAACCACGATGCCAGATGCAGGAGTGGAATTATTGTAAATCTGTGCTATTACAGATGTGCTTCTCTTGCCTTGCTCTGTTGTCACACCGTTGGCAGAGGGGAGAACTCTGAGCTCTGGGGGTCTCACACAGGGTGTCCCAGCTAATTCCAGTTTGCTTTTCAGGCAGGGTTGGTAAGGCAGGGAGGATCAGGAGCTGCCACTGCTGGGCAGACCTTGCTCTGGGCTGAGACAGGAGTTTGGTGTCACTGCCGAGGAATCTCGCTTCCCAAATTCCCAAGGCAGGTCCCTAAACCATCCCGAGCCCAAGCCAAGGCTGCTCCTTCCAAAGGAATAAAAGAGTGACACTCATTAACATCTGAAGTGATTCCACCTCCTCCCCAAATTCTCTGGATGGATCTAATCACAATATTTCTCCTGACTTCTTGAGTGGATTTCACACACAGTGAAAGAAATCTGAAATTTCACTCCTAAGTAGCTCTTTCACCTCTTTCTCCGAATTAATTCCTTACATATATTTTACAACTTTATTAAAATTTCCCTTTTTTTTTTTAAGATATGCCTCTATTTTTCTATATAAAATAAACTGGGCTTGGTAACAACCTCACCAAGGTTATTCAAATGCCTCTTAAAACACCACCACACTCTCTTTTAGGATCATTTAAACTCCATTTCCCCAGAGTTAAGCTTGGCTGCGTTACAGGATCCTGCAGCCTTTGTAGGACTAATATTTGAGGGAATGAGAGGCAACTCCAAGAAAATACATGGCAGCAGAATTCCAGGGATCCAAACCTGGACTGGCACCAACAGGGGTAACAGAACTTGGTTTTAAAATGCACATTTTTAGGAGCAAACCCAGTTTTGTATAAATGGCATTTTATAAAACATGCATCTGATTTTGTCACGTGTAGTCCCCAATTATTTTGACTTAAAAAAAAAATCAGGAATATGGGATCAAGGACACATTTGAAAAGTACTGAACCTGTGAAAGAAAATACAGCAGAGGACACATTTAATGGATTATTAAAGAAAAAAGGAGTGTCAGAACCCCTGACTTACCCAAATCAGTGTGCTGTGAACAGAAATAACAATATTGTTTTAGAATGGTGAAGTCAGTAAAGACAGGAGAGTCTGGATGCTCCAGGGAATTCTGTGGTGCTGAGACCAAACTGGATTCAGAAGATTTGGCATCAAACTGAAGTTACAAATATCAGCAGCTGTGAGTTGCACATCCCATGGGAGAAATGTTTGGCATCAGGAAAAGAATGTGTATATGTTAAATACAACTCCAGGGAAAAAGTATTTGAAATTCAAAGGTTAACAATCAAAATAATTGATTCCCAAACATAAGAATGCAGAATTTTGTCTTTAAAGATTGTTGTTATCCCCTTGATTGGTTAAACCCTCGTTAATCCCAAAGAGTCCGAATGAGAAACATGGATAACAACAAAACTTTAAAAAACTTCCTGTTTTATAAACATTTCTAAACCCTCTGTCCCTGCCGGAGCTCAGAACAGAGCTCTGGTCTTTAGTATTATTTTAACAACAATAAATGATGTGAGGACTGGAGAATGAGGTTGAATTGCTTCAGTCAGGAACACATGAACTCTACAATTTCAACTAAACCACAACAGAGCTGGAATCCCACCAGGAATTACCAATCCTGATCCCCAGCACAGCTTCCACTCCTTTCAGTGTCCTGAACAGAAATCCCTTCTTCAAACCAACACTGCCCACAGTATCTGCAATAAATGGAGAGTCTCCCAGCCTGGCTGGTGCATTTGTACTTCAGGAATAGCTCTTTCCAAAGAATTCAACACCCCAGCAAGGAGGGAGACCTGCAGGGCCCCTGGTTCCTTTGATCACCATGGAATGGGCTCTGGGAGAAACTCAGGACAATCAGGAGTCAAGGCAGCTTAACCCCACGGAATAAAGGACCTCAGGCCCATCCCTGACCTCCCTCACAATTTGTTTTTGTCAAACCCAAGTCGTTTTGGCACTTGAGATGTTCAGGTGATGGATTGTGCAGAGTGTGGTGGCTGGGGAGCCTTCCCTGGCCTGGGTGACATGGAAGACTGAAATCAAGGCTCCAAAAGGCTCTAGGAAGTATCTGACTGCAAATATGCAAATCTCCTCAAGCAGTTAACGAGCTGATCCCTAATTTAGTGCAGAATAAAGAGAAGCAGCTGCTGCCCAGGGTTCTACAGCTTCTCAGGATTGAATGCACAAACAAGGAAAGCTCAGAGAAGGGGTCACCCAAGGCCTCCTCTGTCCCCTCTGTGTGCTGGATGTGGAAAAGGCTGGAGAGTTCCTGGAGGATGCTGCCCTGTGCTGCAGCACAGAGTCCTGCAGGAGCTGCCAGGGCCAGGTCCTGCCACGTTC